GCAAGAGGAGGAGGAGGAATTTGGTACGGTCCATAAGAAAAGAAAAAAACTTTAAAAAACAGAAAGAACAATTACAGGGACGCACGCCGCTTAACTTTGGTAGGTTGGGTCTTCTGTCACACTACGGTGTCAAAAAACACACAAAGACAAAGATGAAGGTAAAGAGTCTTAATAAATTCAAAGATAGGTAATTCCAAGCAAGGGGAAGGTTGGTGACACACATTACATTGACAAGACCCGACAAACTAGAGACAGCAACTAAATACATGGACCAAATTAGGATAATTAACAAGACACCGGTGGACTGATTAAAGTAATCAAGGAGAGACAGAAACAAGGTCAAAGGAACAAAACTAAACAGGAGAACAGGAAACGAAAGAAACACAACAAAAAGTTCATAATGGTGACAGTAAATAGACAACTCTAAAATCAGGTACAAATGTTTTGAGCTTGTCCACTTTCAACCACTTCCAGAGGTAGTCAAAAATGCATTTGACCGTATTGCTTTTGTAGTGTAAACACTCATGTGGTCAAATGTATTCAAACAGCCACAAAAGACCACCTACTCTCTGCCTACTGATCTGATGTGTAACTATTACAGGAAGCAACTTTCCAGATGGGATATAAACTTTGTAAGTTGTAAGTTTGGTTTGAAGATGAAAAATGTACAAAGCACAATGTTCTCCGCCAATCCTCACTTCTAACATGCATCTACAGCATTCGGTGTGGTTTTGCAACTACCAAACAAATTAAAGCTGCTGCTCTACTTATCTTTTTCCATTGTCTCATTTTGATTGAAAATTCCGTTGATATGTAAATTGCGTGAATGTATTTTATCCATTTGATTAAAAAAAATCGGAAAAAACATGCATTTACCCACCATTGAAAAAATGGGGACAGGAGTGGTCGAAAGTGGACAAAAGAGACGGTGATACGGAGATTGTATATTTGTGATCCGATCAACCAAAACACATTTTAAACCCAGGTGTAAACAAAGCCCAAATCCGCTGCTCAGGTATTTTGAACTATATCGGGGTTGCTTCTGTGAACCTCAAGATTGTCTTTCCACAGTGATGGCACAAGAAAGGCTTCTCTCTGGTGTTACATGATTCCTAAGATGTTTCCTGTCTGTGAAACGCCACAATTCCACACTAATGACATAAAATACAGTTCTCTCATATGTGAAAACTCATGTGGGACTTAAGGGCTGCTTTATATCTGAAACTCTTTCCACAGTGACCACATGTGGTCTCATGTGCTTCTGAGACTGAGGCTTCTCTCCAGTGTGAGTTCTCATGTGCCTGTTAAGGCTTCCTTTTCGGTTGAAACTTTTTCCACATTGTTGGCATGTGAAAGGCTTCTCTCCAGTGTGAGTTCTCGTGTGCCTGTTAAGGCTTCCTTTTCGGTTGTAACTTTTTCCACATTGTTGGCATGTGAAAGGCTTCTTTCCAGTGTGAGTTCTTATGTGGTCTTCAAAGTGTTGTTTGTAATTGAAACTCTTTCCGCACTGAGGACACGTGTAGGGTTGCTCTCCAGAATGAATTCTCATGTGGTCTTCAAAATGCCGTTTTTGACCGAAACTATTTCCACACTCAGAACATGTGTAGGATTTCTCTCTATGAGTTCTCATATGGACTTTAAGGTTTTTGTGTTGATCAAAACTCTTTCCACACTGAGAGCATGTGTAAGCCTGCACTACATTGTGAATTCTCATGTGTCTGTTAAAGCTTTCTTTGTGAGTGAAACTTGTTCCACACTGTTGGCAGGTGAAAATACTCTCTCCAGTGTGAATTGTCATGTGGCAATTAAGGTTTCCTTTCCGGTTGAAACTTCTTACACACTGTTGGCAGGTTGAAACTTCTTCCACACTGTTGGCAGGTGTAAGGCTTCTCTCCAGTGTGAAGACTCATGTGGACTCCAAGGTTTCCACGTTGAGTGAAACTCTTTCCACACTGAGGACGTGTGTAAGGCTTTTCTCCATTGTGAATTATAATGTGTGCTTTAAGGGTTTCTTTTTGACTGAAAAACTTTCCACACTGTTGGCAGGCATAAGGCTTCTCTCCTGTGTGAACTCTCATGTGCCTTTAAAAAAAATGTTTTTGAAGGAAACACTTTCCACACTGTTGGCAGATGAAATAACTACTACTTCCTGTCTTTTCAGTCTGTGAGCAACTAAAAGAGTTTTCTCCAGTTAAGAAATCATGTTGATTCTTATATTGATCTTTCTCTTCCATTTCACTCAGTTCTTGACTCTACTCTTTCAGTACCGTCAAGTCTAGGGCGAAAAAAGACATACAAATTAACCCCAATTCAATGACACAAAGCATCAGACATTAAAACATTCAGACATGCAAGTCGTCGAAACCAACATACAACTAGATCCTATACCCACTAAGCAAATGAAAGAGGTGTTACATGTAATCAGAGAACCCCTTCTCAATATTGCTAACCCACTTTCTCTAGGACATGTCTCAAAAACTATCAATCTGGCATTTAAACCCTCCATTTAAACAAAAAGACTGATCACCCATTTACTAGGGATTAAGATGCAAAAAATAAAGAAACATGGGGGAAAAGAAACAAGGACAAACGGCCCACTCAACCATTAGACCAAAAACTCATCACACAGTAATTCCACGTGATGATTTATTTGAAAAGAAAAACAATATTTTTCTCAGGGAGGAAGCAGCAGATGTTTGTTATAACTTTGAAAATGACCTGTCACGCTAGTTCAAACATCACTGACAGGTGGAATTACAAATCTGAAAACAATGCATTCACAGAAGCAAGAGAGAACAGCAGAACAAAACAATGATACAAATATCCAACATATGTAACACCATTTATGTTTAAAGGGGGCCAATGGAACGAAATGGCGAATGATGGGCACAGAACGGTAACAAAACACTTACACCGTGCCTACACTGTAAGCGGTGCGGCGCGACAATACTATAGAACCCATTATAATCAGTGATGTGGTCTACACTGGACGTGAGCGGTGCGGCGCGACACAATACTAGAGAACCCATTATAATCAGTGATGTGGTCTACACTGGACGCGAGCGGTGCTGCGCGACAATAACTATAGAACCCATTATAATCAGTGACGTGGTCTACACTAGACGTGAGCGGTGCGGCGTGACACGACATGACACAATACTATAGAACCCATTATAATCAGTGATGTGGTCTACACTGGACGCGAGCGGTGCGGCGCAACACAATACTATAGAACCCATTATAATCAGTGATGTGGTCTACACTGGACGCGAGCGGTGCGGCGCAACACAATACTATAGAACCCATTATAATCAGTGATGTGGTCTACACTGGATGACCCCCCGCAATGCGACAAATCCCCGACAGTAAACTGATGCCTCATTCTTCTATTTATGACATTTATGACACAAAGTTCAAATGATTTGCAATGGTCACTTTGTCGCGTCCAGTGTAGACAGACTTTAAGCTGTTGCGGCGAGACGCAACAACTGTCATGTTGGGTGTAGACACGGTGTTACCTTTACACACAAATGTAGAAGTGTGCTAACTCTACTACATAGGGATGTTTACATAACTAATGTTATATAAAAATTCACGTTCACATTTTCCGAAAATATTTAGCTTACAGATCTGTTTAAATGCTTCAGTTTTTTTGCATTATGTTA